TATATAAAGTATTTAATAAAAAAAATATAAATATTTAAAATTAATTAAAAATTAAAAATTAATATTTTAAATAAGATATTGTGTGAAAGATAAAAATATATAAAATGCATGGTCAAATGAAGCTTAAGGAAGCTTTTTCCATCCCATTTTCTCTAATTTTTTTGAAATTCAAACAAAAGAATATCCTTCATTTCGCCAATCATTTATAGTATATTTGGGTTAAAGAGAATAAAGAAAAGGAGAGAGAGGGAAAAAAATTCTTTTATTAAGTTATCAAAAAAATTGAAAGGAAGGGAAGTGGATGAAAGTCATTTGAATTTTTTTTTTTTTTCTATGAATTTGGTTACACACTTTAAGATAATTCTTTCACATTTCTTTACCTATACCACATATAACTATTTAACTTGAATTTAAAATCAAAATCTTTTATTTCATTGAATTAAGTGAAGAAATTACAAATGAACCAGTTAGGTTATGAACAACGTCTACCATATTTCTAAACAAAACCTTCCCGATTTTCCAAGACCTTCACTAACGACTTTTTTTAGTTAGTTCTAAACTAAATTAAATTTCATAAGTTTAAAACGCACTAGTTATGGCCAACCCACAATAATGTTATGGCCACCCAAACTATAGAATGTTATTTATAAAAATATTGATTATGTTTAATTTGATTGATAAAAATAGTTAATAATTGTAATAATTACTAATAAAAATACTAATATTTATTAGTTAACAAATTAGTTAATAAATTGACATTTTTGGACACTACTTAAAAAAAAACCCAAAATTTAAGTGATTTTAACAAAACTAAGGGGCAATATCTACACCCATTGCTTGCATGTAGGGTAGGCACATTTAGGATATTATCAAAATATCCAAAATTTGGACCCAAATTCTTAAATTTTAGTTCAGATAATTCAAATATTTAGATAAATTCAGATAAAATCAAAATGATAGATTATAATTCGATTCGGATATAATTATTTACTCATATTCAAAATTATCAACATGAGCAATCAAATTATCCAAAATTTTTTAATATTAAATAATTATATAT